TAAGCAATCCTTGCTAACTTAGAGGACATTGGTTTATGTGCAATCACCGATCAGGTACGAAACTCGCTCATCCCATTCTGCCTTGGAGCTCACGTTCGGGTCCCGCCAGCGGTCGCACAGCAGTGTAGGCAGATAAACATTGCCCAATGGCCATTTCTGGCTCATTAATTTTCATCAGCCTGCTATATCTAATTCCAGATGGTGAACCATCCGAGGCTTAAACTCGCGACCTGTTCATTAGAAGTCAGACACTCTAACTCACTGCGCCGGTTTTCGATCCGAAATATTGAAAATGGCACAGGGCCTCCATCGATCGTGTACGGGACTAAGTCATTCCATTCTGTCCTGAGGCTCCTCTCGGGCCCCACCAGAAGCCGCTTGCTGTTCAGGTTTCGCGAGATACACCACCTACCGTAATCCTTTCCCGCCTCTCTCGAGGGCTTGACAAGGTCAAGGTGACTCACCTGTTTACGCGCTTTTCACATGCCAGTTCCCAATTCGAAGAAATCAGGATTTTAGGAGAAGAGTTTACCAGTAACCAGATAGGCGCTAGTCTAGGCCTGGCTTCACAGCGTCACGGCGTAGTTCGAATGTCAAATTCGCCATTTTTATGTGATGGCACGTTATGCCTGTGTGTGTGTGATTTGAAACGTAGGGGGTGTGTGGGACAGAGAGACATTGACTACGTCCTCTCCTGTACTTCTAGCCGCGTCCGAAGAGCAATATTTGATAGCGAGTGCAGTGTTGCTAGTCACATGTTTGTTGCTGTCCTGCGTGCGACGTACACGAGATGGTGCCACAAGGGAAAGGCGTCGTTCGGGCGCTTTCCTGACACCGTAACATTGGGGCCATTTTTAGTTTTTTCCGCAATAGCGCAAACTGTTTTTTTTGGGACCTAGCACTTCCACATGACATCCCCCACCTTCCTTACTACTTCCCCATCCCTTTTGGTAGAAATTGCTGTCTGGCTCCTTCTCCGGCATCACCAGTCACTCCAGCATGGTTCCCAAGGACAGCCCCTTCGCAGATCCTACAGCGTCCCTACGGAGATTCGCAGATCCCAGACTGCAGCAACTCATCGAGCGCTACGACATTCATGAGAACTCCTTCCACCTACACGTGAACCTTGTGGAGACGCACTTCTGTGAAGACCCGCTTCAATGTAAGTTGGGAGGGACGGGGGAAGGAAGTTCCTTTTAACCTTCAAGGGATGACAAGGCACACCAGTCAGTTATAGCTGGGTGCATTCTCAGTGGAAAGTGCTTTTATTTCGTATAAACTGAAAGGCAGGCATCCCAAGAAATGTAATTTCATGGAAAGGCATCCTTTGTCAAAGGATGCCTTTCCATGAAAGTGCTTTTAGTTGCTGTACCCGGGGTTCAGCCCTCTGAAATAGCTGGGTTAACTTAGTTTCCGCTGGGTCAGAAGGAGAAGATGCGATCGGGAGAGTAGGATATTTATTGATCCGACCACAAATGCATACTACAATTAGCGGTCATCGCTGGGGGCTCGTAATAAATGCGATGATGGCTTGGCAGTCCACGTCCCAGTCGTTAACTGCCAGGATTTAGTAATCTGCTTTGGGTTTTGGCGTGACAATGGCGCGGTATTTTGGTT